CTCCCCTGCAGCTACCAATATCTGTTGAATTCTTAATATCAGAGACTTGGAGTTCAAAAAATCATGGGGCAAGAAAGGGATAACTTCCAAACTGAAGGCAAGCAAACAAACAAACAAAAAAAAAAAAAGAAAAAGATGGAAAGGAGAAAAATGAATGACCGAGACAAACAGTAGAGTGAGCTAAAAAGGAGCAAATCTGAGTTTGAACAAGCAATCTAGAACAGTCTAAAATCTGGAGGCCAAAAATCAAGGCCAGTTGAATGAGTTCTGCTAGGCAAAAAACTCTGGAATTAATTGACATTTACACACATATTGGCTCATTTCTTACAGGCTTTCTGATTTATCTACCCTTGCTGGTCATATGGTAACTAGTCAGCTACACTTCAGTGTGGCCTACACATTTTATAAGCTGTTGCTAATTAATCTGTACCTGATTGCTTTCTTAAAGCTCTGCAACTGGTTAACAATTCGTACTAGTAAGGCAAGTTAACTAAAGAAAAAAAGGCAGCCAAAAATCAGCTGAAATTTGGAGTTCAAAGCTGCAGCTGATAGAATACTAAAAAAAAGAAAAAAAAAGTATTGCTATGTCTAAAGGAAGTAGCAACCTTTGTCCAAAAATTGCCAACATTTGGCTTTTATGACCCCTCATGTATGCACTTCTAGTATCAGGAGAGTCTCTGAGAAGTACTCAAAAGAAAAAAAAAATTAAAGCAGATTTCACAAAGTTGTCAAATCCAGCCTATCCTTTGTGGCCTCCAATGCAAATGTCAATATTCATTAAATTTGGAAATTCTACCTATTAATACAAACTGGCTTGAAAAAATAAGAGGCTATAAATAAACTAAATCATTAAATTTGGAAATTCTACCTATTAACACAAACTGGCTCAACAACTTGAAAAAATAAGAGGCTCACTGATGCCTTTGAGAATCCTTCAGAAAGTGCCCTTTTTTTGAATGCAATCCTAAAGAAGCTTAATGTGTTTAAAAACTAAGCATGTTAGGCTCCCCCCATTCGTTACTGAAATGCCCACATACCTGTCACCGTTAAAAATACCAGAACAATCATGAGTGGGTTCTGTTTTTCTGACAGCTAGTTTACTGTCAGAAAAACACATTCACACTTTCCAGGAGGCTTCATCTCACCAAGTCATGATGTTCAAGAAACTGAACTTTCCTTCCTCATTGTGGTAATTTGTCCCAGTGAGGGATATAGGCAGAAACTCAACTTGGACAGCCCCTCTTTTTGTATGTGACTCCTAAGCTGAGAATACGTCTGTACTTAGCCACAGCACCAGAGGAGCTGGCTCACAACCCCGATTTCTTGACATGACCAGGAGCCTGGCACACAGCCACATGTCCACTCCTCTTGAGTGATGGGACTCCAGGAGATGTGGAGACACTCATCTTCTGCCTAAAAACCATCCCCAAAGGTTCTCTTTCCCAGTCATCTAAGAGAACCATCATTCCATCCGCAATTTTGGCACAAACTAAGTTCAAGAGACAATGCAGACCAAGCACAAAAATGTGTTCTCAGGACCTAAAAAGCAAGTGCCATAAACGTATCTTTCAGAAGAGCTTTTTTTTTTTCAACTACACTTGAATTTGTAACTAAAATCAAATTAGGCAAGCACATGCTACATTTCAAACACTCATTCTGGCATGAGTTTCAACAGCAAAGAATCAAAAGGGCAACATAGCTCTGGTTTCCAAAATGAAAAACCCACCAGCATTCCAAGATCTGTTAGTCCCTCCTGTTCTGTTCTACAAAAAGGAAGTTCTTCTCTCTATAGATATGCTTTTAAAAAAGGATCTCATCATTCTGTCCTGAAAGAAGTTTTGTAAACTGGACAGAACGCTAGGTAGGGTTTTAGAAGCTAAAATCTTTAACACTTATGTTACCATAGAAGTTTTGTAAACTGGACAGAACGCTCAGTAAAACCTTTAACACTTATGTTACCACCCTGCACATGGCCGTCAGCTTCTTGTCATCACACATACCCACGTATGGAGAGCTTCTCGTTTTACTTCCCCTTACTTTAACCCCTCTCCCACTCACCTCCCCTGAGTAACTGTATTTTCCTTTCAGGATCTGCCGATATAAACGGGTGCGGTTGTCATCTTCAAAAGGCATCGTGCCACTGAGGAGGATGTAGGAGATCACCCCCAGCGCCCACATGTCCACAGAGTTAGTGTAGGGCTTCCTGACCAGGATCTCGGGAGCTATGTACTCCGGGGTCCCACAAGTGGTTTTCATGAGGCAGTCATCTCCCTTCTTCCGAGCACTTGCCAGTCCAAAGTCTGTAATCATGATTTTTGAATCTGTTCCAGGATGGTAATACAGCAGATTCTCTGGTTTTAAATCTCGGTGTGTGATACCCAGTGTATGTAAGTACTTGACACCATCCAGTACCATCTGCAGCACACGTGTAGCATCTCTTTCAGTGAAGGAGCCTTTAGCAATGATTCGGTCAAAGAGTTCCCCTCCAGTTGCCAATTCCATCACCATGTACACGCGGTCCTGGGTCTCAAACACCTCAATAAGCTGGATGATATTGGTGTGCCGGACCCGTCGCAGCACGCTGAGCTCTGACTCGCACACCTCTCTCCCCTCCCGGTATTTGGTTTCTATCATCTTGATTGCATAGGGCTGCTTGGTAGCCTTGTGTTCCACCCGTACAACACGGCTAAAGCTTCCTCTTCCAATCAGGGCTTTAATGTCATACTTGGCTGTCACTCTGGGGTCAAATTTAGCACGGTATTTAGCCACCTTATTCCTGCGGAGCTCAGGCTGGTCCATATGAGTAGGAAGGTGGTTACCAGGATATGGGTTAGTATGACGTGGAGGTGAGGGAGAGTCAGCTTTGATGATAGCCCCACAACCATCCTTGATGAAATGCTTGTATATGTCATTGTGGCCTGTGTAAGGTTCTACTTTTTTAACCAGATCTAGCTGCACATCTTTAGGGGGCTCGGGAAGCACTTTGCTTGTCCCACAGCCCATTACTGAATGGTGTTAATTCCCTATCAAGGCATTTTCCCAGGGCAGCATCAGCAACAGCCACATCCAGAGCAATTCCCACATTTGAACCTTCAAAAAACAAACAAACAAAAAATAAATCACCACAGTCAAGAACTATTTGTTCTCTCCAATCACACTGCTACTGTAATTGCCTGACCAGTTATTTCTATAGCATAGTATCTCATACTTTCTTCTATAACCACATATCTACTTGCTTCACTCTATTTGATCTCCCTTTGACTTACTTTGGAATATTTTGCTCATTTACATCAACTATCATATAGACTTTTCCGGTCCATCCGGGATTTGTAAAACTTGATCTCTGTATCATCTATTAATTTGATTCAGTTTTACTTCTTCAACCTGCAGAACTGTGACTATAATATCAACTAGGACTGGATGTGGAATAAAACCCCCAGTGCCCTAAGCAGCTTTGTTCAGTTCCTAACTCCTAACTCCAGCCTAGTTCAGTTCCTAACTATTCTGTGTTCTAACTTGCAGCTCAAGAAATTTCATGGAGATGATAGTGACAGTTCTGAAAAGCAAGAGAGACCATTTCCAAGCCTGGTCACAGGCAGTCGAGAAGCCTGTCCAAGATTAATTTGCTCTTAGACTATAATAGGCTGCTGCACGGTCCAGAGAACACAGAAGCCCCTAGGTAGACTAGTACAAGAACAAAACACCTTAGCACAGGGCACAAGTTGTATCAGGTTTTGAACAAGGGGGTGTAAATCAGCTTGCAGGTAGCAAAGCTGTCTCTCAGTTATAGTGTTGGAGGCAAGGAAGGCAGAGACAGAGACTGGCTCAGTCGAAAGCACATCTTAATCGTGCTGCATTCCTTCCAAAAAGGGAGGCATTATTTAACTGGAACAGCTTTTAGTTACCAATACACTCAAGCATCGAGCCCTGAGAAATCATGGCAGGCTGTGATGTTTTCTAACACCCTGACTCAAGATGTCAGTCCCAGTTTTGCTTTCTTTTGCATCTTCAGGTACCAAGCAGCATTTCTGTTTTTTCCATATGAAAATGTGTCTACCTGCAATGTGGAAGAACAGCTGAGGAAGTAGTACATCCCCTATTCACAGCAAACACAGGCCTTATTCATCTGTATTCATCATCCAATGTAACCAAATCAGCTGCCTTACAGTAAGTCTTTATATGCTGTTTACAACAACATGACTGGCTAGGAGAGGGAAGAACTGCCTACATGCACACTGGCAAACAGCCAGGCAGCTCTAAGTGTCTACTCTCTGTCTGAGACAGAAAAGCTGTTAGCCTTGAAATGTAATCGTGCATCTTACCATCACCAAGGGTATCTTCGCTCATTCACCACCTCTCCATGCAATGTTCAGCACAAACAGCAGAATGGGAGCCCCAGCTTGTCTTACATCAGAAGAGTTACATGTGGAAAAGAAGTGATTTACAGGGACATCAAGCAGTTTAGACTACACACAATCTGTAAAGAAAGCAAGGATTTAGTGAATCTACTGTTCAGGTACAACTTTAAAACAATGCACCAACGAGAAGCTTTTTATGTTACACCTTCTGGCAGTGCTGCAAACTCCAGGATATCAAACGTATACAAACAAGCCTGTGCCAGGATGTGAGCAGTAGAAAAAAATACCAGCTTCATAGAAAGCTGAGCTGACTTTCGAATGTCACAGAGGGTTCTGTCAGACCCAGTATTGTGACAATAAATAAAGTTCTACTGATTGTTCTGGAAAAAAACAAAAAACCAAAAAAAAATTCACATGGACAGATATAGTAATGCATCTTACTCTTTCTTACCTAATTCTTAAAGCATATAAGTTAATGCAGAAGTGGAATAACATCATCCACAAGCCAGATTAGTGCAGAGTAATTCCACATGGAGCATTTTGGTGAAGTGTTTTAGTGGTAAACAAAAACAGTAAGAAGGATCAAATGCTGACCTAGAAAACTTTATATATTAATCCACTGCTGCTAACAACATTAGCTGAGACCAGGCATCAACTCACAATATCTTACTCTCTCTTCCTCACACACTTCTACGCGTGAGGGTCTTAGCATTGCAGCAAAGTGTACGGAAACCCAGAGCTGGGTTCAGTGGCCAGAAGTGGCTGAGCCCAAGCTACTCAACTCCCTATCAGGATAGGTGGGAATGCTCTGGTGGAACATTACCAAGAGTTAGGAAGAAGAAAAAAACTAATGCATTGGAAAAATGAAGCATTACGAGCCCCCTACGAGCTGGAAACCATGTGCTCAACAGGTACCCATAGGGAAAGGGCAACGTGTTCTAGCTACAGTGATAACTGGTGAGGAGGAGCATTAGTTTTATGCTCTGCTATCAACCCACTTCTTTCCCAAGATAACCGGCACGCTTCGTTTTGTTGCTCAGCAAAACGGACGCCCTCCCTCAGCTCCTGCTGACTCAGAAGGATCCACCGCATCTTGGGCAAGCCAGACCCTTAACGGCTCCATAAGCCCCTCGGGGGCGGCCCTGGCAACAAGCAGCGTCAGGGAAGGCCCAGGATTTCCATCAGCTCTGGATTCATTCACCTTAGAGCTACAGAATTTCACACGAGCGTTGGGATGCCAATAGGGAGACTTGAAAATATAAGCTCTTAACCCTGAAAAGAAAGAGCACAAGAAACGCTCCTATACTAATCTATAAATCCGTCCTAGGCCAGCACAGAGGACTTTCTGAAAGCCTTACCCGTTCCCTCACTAGCAAATCTCACAGCACTAACTGCCCGGGGAGCAGAGGGTACCCGGACCTTTGGCAGGTCTCTGCACACACGTTTGTGCGCTAGGGGCTGAGGGGCCCTTCAGGACGTGGTGTCAAAGCCTGGCGCTAAGGGGAAGGACAGGGGGAGACCAGGAGTCCCAAACCTGGGGCTGACCCGCAGCTGCATCTTTTCCGCCACCGTTTCCAGGCGGCGACCCCAA